GAATTATTTTAATGAATATTTCGATGAGTATTTTGAGTGCCGAAATGTGTACTCACAGTTGAGTATACTTGAAGAAGACTTTGCGGAATGAATTTTGATGAACAGTTTGAGTAAAATGCAAGCAGGTCTTTAAAAAATTAAGTCAAAGTTGCAAAATGTATAACAAGACCATTAAACCAGATTTGTCCAGGTTTTTCGCTTTTTGCAGCGCTAACGTTGGTCTTTTCCAAGACCTGGACACAATTTATTTAGAGCAAATGCATTCAAATGTTCTTTCCTGATTGGTTTCCGTCTAGATTGGTGGGTTGGGTAAGATCAAGACCAACACAATCATCAAGGAGCTCTCCAAAGCCTGGATGCTGGATGAGGAAGCAGCCTGGAGACCACAGAGAAGTTTCCTTGGAAGATCAGCAAGGAAGAAGTCACCACGCTCAAAGAGAAGGTAGAATCTCCTCCTTGCGCTCATTATTTTAGCAGCACCCCCCCCCCACCTTGAAAACTGTAAACTATATATTTATTTTTGTGTAAGTTGGTCAGTAGTGCAGAATGATTCACATGTTAACTAATGCATGCAAAATAGAGAAAAAAAGTAAATTTTAATGACTATCATCCCACCCTATATTTTCAGGCTATAGAAATGTCAAAACAGAGTTTTACCTATCCTACCACACAGTTGTTTTTTTTTTATATGTAATAGAAAACACCACACTTTTTGTTCTTGGATGGCCTTATTATTTTAATATATGTTTCAGTGTCCAATTCATTTCATGGAGCCTTTCAGAGATCTCTCAGGTTATTCTGGATGGCTGCATGTCTAAGGAAACACATGCTTTATGTCAAAGGGAAATATAATGCTCTGTATAATTTTTGTTTGGGAACCCCCCCCCCCCCACCTCCACCCCACCTCCCACCACCCCCAGGCTTGACCTACTCATCCCTCACCTCATCTCCCTGAAATCCAACTGGGAGAAATGCAAGCTGTGCGTCTTTGCCGCCACGGACAAGAAGGAGCAAATGGACAGGGAGAAGATGAACATGGCCAACATGCTCAGCAAGTTCCGCGAAGCAACCAACCCCAGTAGGCTGGTTCCAAATAGTCAACTAGCGTAGTCAACCACCGTTGACTAGACAGAGTTCGGGCAAACGTTAGTTAACCATTGGTCAACTATAGTCCTTGCACGAACTTGGCCCAAGGTGGGGTACTATTTTGCTTTTTTGGTGTCTTCATGTACATTGGTGTCCTCCATAATTTGCCTTGGTGCTCTCGATGGTGCTCTCTAGCAATTTCCCATTCCTTGGTGCTCTTTGTTAAAAAAAAATTGAGGAGATGCGGCAATAGAGGGCGCTGTCGGAGCTACCGCGAAACATTTTGGAAAAAAAAGATTGACGCGCATGATTAAAATTGACGCGCGCGCCGACCAGAGACCGACTTTTTTTTTTGGCCTAATAGAAAACACCACACTTTTTGTTCTTGGTTGGCTTTATTATTTTGTTTCAGTGTCCTATTTATTTCAGGGAGCCTTTCAGAGATCTCTCAGGTTATTCTGGATGCTTTATGTCAAAGGGAAATAATGCTCTGTATAATTTTTGTTTGTGAACCCCCCCCCCTCAACCCCCACCTCCTACCACCACCCCCCCAGGCTTGACCCTACTCATCCCTCACCTCATCTCCTTGAAATCCAACTGGGAGAAATGCAAGCTGCGCGTCTTTGCCACCACGGGCAAGAAGGAGCAAATGGACAGGGAGAAGATGAACATGGCCAACATGCTCAGCAAGTTCCGCATCAACTGCTCGGACGTGGAGGTCATCCCGGACCTGAACAAGAAGCCCAAGGAGTAGAGCCTGAGATGGTTCAAGGAGCTGTCCAAACCCTGGATGCTGGATGAGGAAGCAGGGGAGACCACAGAGAAGTTTCCTTGGAAGATCAGCGAGGAAGAAGTCACTTCGCTCAACGAGAAGGTAGCATCTCCTTCTTGCGCTCAAGCACCCCCCCTCCATAGAAAAAACTATAAACGAGGGCCATTTGGGCACCATCGTGGCTTATAAATGCTGGTACCAAATACACGATAACCAGCATGAGTGAACCAGTGAAGTGTCCCTCATTCCGGCTTCTGCATGTTTGACTATAAAGCGCCCTCTTTTGTCCATGCATGGAGGCAATACACTTAATGCTTTTCCAGTGTCCACTTTACGCTAAGTCCCTGGTTTTTGTGATTTTAAGTCCAGTCTTGCAACATGCAACTTGTAAACATGATATATAAATGGACGCAGAACGCCAAAATCTGAGACAAACAAAAATTAACGTACAAAATTCCATGAGCCGTTTCGCGGATACCGCCATCTTTGAAATGGGGGGGGGGGGGGGCATTACAATGAAAAGACATCCCATCATTCTCAGCTACAGTTGCATGATGAGACGTATTTTCATTGTAATTCCCCCCCCCCCCAGAAAAACAATAATTCAAAGATGGTGGAATATTTACAGAATACTCGGGGGGGGGGGTGTTAACCGCTGGTGCAAAACATGGGGGCGGGGTGAGCAATAGATCTAACAGTGCTTGTGACCCAGTCTGACTGAGCTACTGTGGTCACCTGATCAAAAGTGGTGATCTGATTGGTCAATGTGCACTGTTGATTGACATGCAGGAAGGGTCCATTATAACCTTTTCTTTGATTTCTTGCAGGAGTCTACCTATTCCCAGGAAGCGTACTTGTTCAGCTTACATGTACATGTGCTGGCTGGAGACATTATCCAAGGATATGCTGTCAGCAGGGGCCTTGCATCACCTGACCAAATATGGCATCCAAATAAAAGTCAATACAAAGAAATTCACTTGAAATGATAAAGTGACAAAGGACAATTCCAACCAGTTGAAAGACCCTCCCCACTTGAATGGAATTTGTGCTTTGTTTTGATTGATTTCGTTGAGATTGTTTCTTTACCATCTAACGGGCTCACACTTTCACTGATGTTTTCAAAGTGAGTTTCTTGAATGCAATCAAGTAATACTGATTAAGAACAATAAAAGTCTTCAAATAATTTGGAGTCTGTTAATCAAGAAACACTTGTCGCACTTTTGCGGGCTTTAAAAACAACAGCCAACTCCACTTTTTTCATTACTGTAGGCACGTTTCTGTTTCAACTGAAATTAATTAAAATCATGGGTTATTTTTCATAACGAAGCCAAGCGAAAAAAGAGAGTATTTATCAACAATGGTGGTGCTTTTGGTAATCCTCAGAATGAGGTTTTATGCATACTGTTTTCATAGCCAGTCAATTGTTACTTTTACATAATTCTCACATATTATAACGTTTAAAATAATGCAATCATTTAATAAAATCCAGTGTGTTCTAATTGCTGTGAATAGCATTAGAATATTTCAAACAATTGTTAATCCAAATGCCAAGCTTAAAGTCTATAAGAAAATCAGATTCAATCACTCGATACTTTTTTCGTGACATGAAATAAAAATTGATACATACATGGGATTGATTTAATTGCCATCATCTGTGCTGGGCATACAGGGAACATAAGGCAAAGAAAATAACATGTTACAGTAAACGCCCTAAAATTATCCAGGTATGTAGCAAAATATTTTGTTTGTTTGTCTGTATGTCTTTTATACTTTGTTTGCTTTAGGATACAGTTATTGTGTTTAATTAATCTGTTTTAAATACCCAATACTACAAACAAGTTGCATTTGTTTTCGGGAAAGAAAACACGTTATTTTATATGTTGACCATTTTTATTGGTGGCAATAAAAAAAACTGGCGGTCAGAAACATGGCCTAAAAAATCCAGGTTGGTCGAGAGAACACCATAAACACATTTTTTTTTAGTTGTTAACATTTCTGGATACATATGGTGGCACTGCTTTTATATATGGGTCCAAAAAAATCGTTGTCAAAAAACTTAACGCATACTTTTCACTATATCTCAATACTCATGCATAAAGCTAAATATTTTGTTTTGCAAAAAGTCAAAAAAAATTGGCAAATCCATTTGTAGTATACAGATCGGCGCATGCGCAATGCAAAACCATTAATAATAATATCTTAATTTTTGTGACATTGTCATTGAACATTATTTGTTTTAATTCATTGGTTATTGTTCCGGCTAAATGGAAAGCGATTAAAAAAATCAGCAACACGAATGCTCGTGTATCTTTATGTGTGGATTGTTGTGTTTATTCGGGGTAAAGGAGGAAGCCACTGAATGAGGTCCAGTGATTGGAATCACTATGCGCCCTACCGTGCATTGTGAGATACATCGTATCTCCACGCTGCAGAACCACCACCGCGCTCCCAGACACCTGCTCATAGTGACTAAAATCATTGCTATGGCCAGAGACAACCACGTCGCCGTTCTTCCGGAGATAAACCCACAGGCTGCCGGGATACTTACGCACAGAAAACATGAACACGTAGGTGCCCGGCACACGACACGTGAACGTGCCGGTCTCGAGATCGAAGCTGGTACCCGGCAGAAGCGTCTCGGTCGCCTGGAAGGGCAAACGGTAGTCGTTACTCGTAGAGGTATCCGAGTTGCTCGTCCTCACCACGGTGAATGCTACCCGCTGGTTGGAGTCGTCTGGTGCCTCCCCTGGCTCACCCTTTTGACCTTTGACACCAGTCAGACCGGTTTGCCCGACAGAACCTTTAGGCCCAGTGTCACCTTGAGGGCCAATCGGCCCGATCTGACCGTGACCATCGATGCCTGCATCACCCTTTAGTCCCCTCTGACCTTTGACACCCGGTGCCCCTGTAACACCCGGTATTCCTCGCTCACCCAGCTGCCCAAACGGTCCTTGCTCACCTGCATCACCCTTTGACCCTTGTAAAATTCCTACAATTGCAGCTGTTTCCTGGCAGCACGTTTGGCCCGCCTGAGACGCAGGACCATCACCGTCCGAGGGAACCGGCCCAGTAACGGAAGCTCGGAGGTTGACGGAGTTACCCAGAAGGAGGGCGATTGAAAGAACGGTTGCCACGAAGATCTTCATTCTGTACAGAATAAAAATGATTAAACTGAAACAAATCAGGTGAGAATTTTTTTAAAATAAAATAGTTCAAAAAGTAGCGACGAGTAGAGAAAAAGGAAAAAATGTTGCAACCTGACGCCACTTTTTTCTTCATTATAGCATCTCAATGAAGGTCATTCATTGCAAAAATTAAGACATGAATCAGGGACTGAGAAACATTTCCATTTTTGTTAGAAAATGCTTCAAACATTTTCTTGATCCTCCATAAACTTTGTACACAATCGCGGAAGTGGCGTCAGGTTAACCTTTTTTCCCGAGAAAAATACTGATGTCGGATAAACTGCAGAATTATAGTCTAAAAACTCATGACAATCCGCCAACGGATTTGAAGAAAAAACACATATGATTGAAGAAATCACTATTCAGAATGTGTTCTTCGTGATAACGGGGGCTGTAGCTAACATTGATGAAAAGCTTAATTTTTAAAATTGGTTGGCATGGCAACCCATTGAATTGTTTAATAAAAGTCACCAAATTGCATGCGGATAGGGTGAAGCGCACTGGAGCTGTAGTATTTTTGGGGGGGGGGCGGAGCAAATTTTTGCCCTTCTCCAGTCCTGATAGAATAATTAAACATCACCACACCCACCTCGATGGTTCGTTCTTGAAGATCAGGTCCAAGAAGAGATCACAATGAGTTCAGTGAAGGCTGAAAAACATACGAAGGAACACTGATTACCTTTTATACTTTAGTAAGAAATAATATTTTATCATTCAATTTAGATAAACTCGTGAGTTTTTTCTCATTTAATTTTGATGGCACAAATTGTTTTGATGGCACATTGTTGGATTTCTCACGACATTGACTGATGCTTGAAATTAGTCCAATATTTCTATTGAAACGTTTATTCAAATTGCCTGCATCTACTTATGACGCAGTAGTAAGTCATTCAAATTTCAATGTCACACCTTGCTCATTCAATATTTAAAAAAATGGGCAAGCGTTTTGAACACCCGGTTGAATTTAGCAAAAGTTCACAATTGTTCAGAGTATTTTCATGCACGAGTAAAAAAGTAGGCATCAAAACGTGACTTGTGCCTTGATTTTCTTGCGCTTTGGATTTCAGTCCCGCTCGAGAATTCAATTTGATGCGTACGTTTATAAAAGTAGCACGTGTTCAATGACATAAGTTGCTTAAGATGTTGTGTTATAGTGTTGCAAAACAGTTTAAAATTAATGACATGGCTTTTGAAAAAGTTTGATCAAGGAATTTACAGCTATTTCGAAGAAAATATTGAATGCCTAACAAATTTCAAAACAGAAGTTTAAAAATGTAAAATGTTAAAGTGATAGAAGAAAATACATTCTGAGCACTCAAAAGAGAGATCTGTATATGTAAACCGAAGTGAGCAGTTTGTTTATTGTTGTAATCACTCTGTGGAAATAAAAAGAGCGAATTATTAAATTTTCTTTCTTATCGCCAATGCGATTGACGTTTAGCGAATCGCTAATGCCAGATTAAGATGACTCCTGATTTTACTGCACTTTCGCTGAAAATGAATACTTCCTCTATAACAAATACGCCTACTCGGTGAAAACTCCAATAAAAAATAGAATGATTTTTTTAGCACGAAAAATGCTGTCCACACGCCTTTTGTTGTTGTAAATATCCCAAAAAATCGAACGCTCTAACTGCGACCATTTGAAGAGTAAACATTGCGACTTCATGAGTAAGTTGCGAAATTGGATGGGAAAACTATATTATGATTCACTGACGTTATAAACAATCACAAACGAATAACAACGTGATCAACGAACAACAAAGAATTAGAACGGTAATTGCATACACAATTTAGTAAAACATGACAACATGATTAAGAATATAACATTATATACATGCTAACTAATCCGCTTAAACAATAACTAGCAATTGATGCAATCAATACTAATTTTCATTAAGTTATCTTTTTAACTTTTGCGAAACTAATTGTGAATAGATAAAACAAAATGACAAATTTAACTTAGCGTGTTTCGCCATTATTTCGAGGCACCCTGGTGAATTTGACGAGGAATCTGATTGTCTGAGAATAAAATCTAAATTGATGGTGTTGCTATACAACAAATGGCATGTCTAGCAACGGTTTGAGTGTCTGTATTATCAACATTGCTTTAAAGATGCAGTTTCCCGTACTATTTTCGAGTTTCACCTCCACAATTTGATTTCAATTGCTATTTTTCTAAAAATATATCATATATTTACTTTTGAATTAGTAATGGAACGGAAAAAAATCCACCAAAGTTTAGTTACTGAATTATTGCTTCACAAACTTTAAATTATTGGCTGTCAGACAATAATTCGCTTCTCGCAGGGCGGGTTCAATTGTGCGCAAAAATGAAAATTCCTTTGGCATGCAGACGCCCAAAATCGGATCAAAGTAGTTGTTTTTACCTTAATAAACAAAACACATATACACATGGACAATTCGTAAGAGAAACAAATCTATTTTGAATAGCAAGGGGTATGCATCCTTACTTTGAATAAAGGAAATTGATTTTGAATGCACATTTGAAAAATTCGATCGGAAAACCTATATTAATGATAAATTTCCTTCGAAGACGTTTTCTGTTACAGTTTTGACAACAACGTTTATCGATGCACACAAAAAGATAAAGTCTGCCATTAAATAAACGCTCAATTCTGACAGTTGTGTGAGGATATGTCAAATAGCAGATACTCACCCGAATGTAACGTTCTTGAATTCTCTCACGAAAGGAATCGAGCAGATTGCTGGCTGAAAATAATACCAACAAAAACGAGTCATTGAAAGTCAGCTGGGAGATAACTTGGGGGATGGTGGGGGCGGCATAGCTGAATTGTATCAGTAAAACGCCGCAAAAAATCTCTGTCGGGTGAAATGTGATTTGGATTGATTATTTATTCCGGTAGGAATTCGTTCATCAACAGCCCTGACTAGACTCACGCACGGGTGGTTTTTTTTGGAGAAACATCCAAACAAAAACAAGTTGAAATTAGTTAAGATCATTTGCAAATGTACAGAAAGTGTACTTCACAATAGAACTGGTTTCAAACAACCTGTAAAATTATTCCGCCTGATTAAGCGTAAAATAAAATAAGTACAATGAAGGCTTTGCTGTTTTCAAAATAGTGTGCCGGCGGGCACACTCTGTTGCGTGTGTAAGCAACGGCATCCAGTTGTGCATACGTTTACTCTTCAATGAGACTTGTATGTTTGCATGGTGGACATGAAAAAGAATATAAGGTTTGCGGTAACACCGTGTGAATAATTTTGAGTTGTGTGGTTCTGAGAAGAATCAGTTCGTCATCAGGAAACTGCCGGACTCTTGCTGGTGTAGATGTTTAAGTAGCACCCGGGGGAGGGGGGGGGGTAGTTCAGTGGACCGTTAAGGTGGGAGATTCTGGAAGAGGATGCTAAAAGTTGCCAGGTAGGATGCTAAAGTGGACTGTGTGCACTCACTGAAGCATGTCAGAATGATGGTGGTACAGCTAGGATGAACATTAAGGGGTGCAGAACGAGTGCCAAGGGGTTTAGGGGACCCATAGGCAGAACTAATGCGGGGGATCGAACTATGGGGATTGGTTAGGCCCGTGGGTATAAAAGACCCATTGGACCTACGATGAAGGAGTGGTCGCCATCATGGAGGTGGTACCCTATGTCTCGTGGATCTGTGTTGTGTTTGTAGATGTCCATGGCCTTCCGGACTCGCCGAGGGTGCCACTGTTGGTTGCTGGTGATGAGCTGTGCTTGTGGCCAGTTGATGGTGTGGTCTTCGCTGTGGGAATGTTCGATGATGGATGACTTCTCGTAGTCCCATCGTGGGCCATGTCACATAAATGAACACGTCACATAAAAGTCTCCTGATGACGAACAAAGCACATTGTCGACACGTCGAGTTCAAACAACTTGTTCTTCTCAGAACCACACAACTCAAAAGAGATATTATTCACATGGTGTTACCACAAACCTTCGAAACTGCGTTTTCTCTTTTCTCAAAGGATAGAATTGAGATTTCAACAGGTTACCAGATATACACCCTATACTTCAGATTTTTATCGATTTTGTTGCTTTTAACGAAAATAACACACTAAGGGCAAAAGATCCTATGTTCCTCTTAATTGTTCAACATTGCTCGAATTTGAGGTTGCAGGAGTCACAACGAGGATACATATTCTGCTTTAATTAATCGATCTCATGTTAAAAAAATGTCCGACCAAAAGACTCTCAATGCCGGAAAATGATGTGAGTACATCGCACCAGGATTTCATGTTTGAAAATTAAACTGATAAAGCAAACAGTTCAAAACGAGGCAGAGAATAAGAAGCTAGTTTACCGTACATGTATTATTGGCCAGCTTATAAACAGACAAACTTTGGCAATATTGTTTTTCTTTGAAATAAAATGTTAAAACACCCATTTGTAAATCATCTGAAAATTATAATTAAAGTGAGTGACTTTTTTTGAATAAGTACGAATCACGATGCATTTCAACTATTCTGAATCACAACAGAAAACTTGATGTAATGAATTCTTAAAAATTAAAATGCAGCCAAAATTTGATTACTAGACTACCAGTCGAACCTGAACTAAGTTTTGAGAGTGCACAATGGAAGTAGTAGCGGAAATATTGTCAGACAGAAATTCTTTATTCCGAACAACAAAACCCCGATATATATTTGTGTGATCGTGTACGACCCGATCACGGTTCTGAATTGGCAAGAATTATTGTATCCCTTTCTTTTCTTTTTCTTCCTTCCTTGCTTTTTTTCCAGGCAATAATTCTCCGCGACTTTTCTTCTCAACGGTACATGGTATAAACTGGAAACCTTGAACAAACACTAACCCTGATTCCGAGGTGAGTATCTGACGTCATGATGACGTCATCATCAGGCATCAAGTTACAAACGATTTCAATGCAAAAACCCATGGACAAAAAGAACAACCATGTCCATACTTTGTAATCTGATAGATGATACCTTGATAAACATTTCTGATTTCCGAAAACAAAGTCGTCTGACCTTTTCTTCCGGGACTACCGATTAAATTAAAGGTTAATGCAAAATACAAAAAGAAACCGCAATGCAAAACAAACATAATTCCTTCGAAACGGTTCAAGGAAAAACGATGAAAACTGGTAAGTACGTGAACCTTAGTGCGAAAAGGGGGACATTTTGGCGGCGTCATCATGACGTCATCGTACATAAAATTATAAGCCTTTCCGGTCAACATGTCACGAAATAGTTTCAGCAATATCTTCATTTTCGTGAGATGGAAGATTGTGACTTTGACAACATTTCATATTCCAGGGCATGTCGCTTGACCTCAATTTACTTCCTGTGCTCCCGAAATTGCAAGTGAATGTAGATTGAACGAAAATGTTTTACTACCATCAAACAAATTATGGAAATAACCCTTGACCAGAATTATCAATGATGTTTGTATTCTGTAAACAGATACATGTAGATCATTAATTGATAAACGTGTGTAGTCGTGTATGTGAAGCAGCTTGACCTTTTCTTCCGGGATTACCGGAAGGTCAAAGTGAGGTAAATTCACAATGAAAACAGACGCCTCATGTAAAAAAAATAAAACAAGATGAAAAAAATATTAAACGGTTCACGGAATGACGACGAAACCTTATGAAGATATTTTTAAGAAGGGATAAATAAGGAGACTAACAGTCATGGCTATATAGGAGAATATTTTTTTTCAGAAGGGATAATTGAGGAAACTCAACATCATGGCTGGGAGGATTTTTTAAGATGGACAATTTGAGGAGACAAACCATCATGGCAAGGAGAATATTTTTTAGATATGATAACTGAGGAGACTACACTCTAAAAAAGCATTAGTCAGATTTGACTAGAAACCAGTTAAATTTGACTAGCCATTCAGGGTCAGCTGGGTGCAACTGAAAATCAGTCAATCTGACTAGATTTTTCCAGTCAGTATTATTGACTTGGGCAAAATAGTTATGCCAATAACTGAATTTGGAGTCGAACCCAACAACTTTTTCTAATCATAGTATGAAACTTTGCATGTTTAACTAAATTCCTAGTCAATTTTCAATAACTAGGAAAACCAGTCAATATTTTGACTAAGTTGTTTTTAGAGTGTAACCATCATGGCTAAAAGGATATTTTTTTCAGAAGGGATAATTGAGGAGACTAACCATCATGGCAAGGAGAATATTTTTTTAGATATGATAACTGAGGAGACTAATCATCATGGTTAAGAGGATATTTTTTTTAGAAGGGATCATTGAGGAGACTAACCATCATGGCAAGGAGAATATTTTTTTAGATATGATAACTGAGGAGACTAACCATCATGGTTAAGAGGATATGTTTTTCAGAAGGGATAATTGAGGAGACTAACCATCATGGCTAGGAGGATATTTTTGAAGAGAGATAATTGAGGAGCATAACCAGCAAGGATAGGAGGATATTTTAAGAATGGATAATTGAAGAGACTAACGTCATGGCTTGAGAGATGTTTTTTAGAAGGAATCCTTGAAGAGACCAACCATCATGGCTTGGAGGATCTTTTTAGATGTGATAATTGAGTAGACGAACCATCATGGCTTGAAGGTTATTTTTAAAGAAGGAATTATTGAAGAGACAAACCATCATGGTTATTTTTTTAGATGTGATAACTGAGGAGACTAACCATCATGACAAGGAGGATATCTTTTGAGAGGGGATAACTGAGGAGACTAACCATCATGGCTAGGAGGATATTTTTTGAAGAGAGATAATTGAGGAGCATAACCATTAAGATTAGGAGGATATTTTAAGAATGGATAATTAAGGAGACTAACGTCATGGCTTGAAGGATATTTTTTTTAGATATGATAACTGAGGAGACTAACCATCATGGCTAAGAGGATATTTTTTTCAAGAAGGGATAATTGAGGAGACTAACCATCATGGCAAGGAGGATATTTTTCAGAAGGGATAATTGAGGAGACTAACCATCATGGCCTGGATGTTATTTTTGAAGAAGGAATTATTGAAGAGACAAACCATCATGGCTATTTTTTAGATGTGCTAATTGAGGAGACTTACCATCATGGCAAGGAGGAAATATTTTTAGAGGAGATAATTTAGGAGACTAACAATCATGGCTAAGAGAATGTTTTTCAGAAGAGATATTTGAGGAGACTAACCAACATGACAAGGAGGATATTTTTCAGAAGGGATAATTTAGGAGACTAACCATCATGGGAAGGAGGATTTTTTAGAGGGGATAATTGAGGAGACTAAACAAGTTGGCTAAGAGGATTTTTGTTAAGAAGGGACAATTGAGGAGACTAACAATTATGGCTAGGAGAATATTTTTAGAGGGGATAATTGAGGAGACTAACCAACATGGCTCAGAGGATTTTTGTTAAGAAGGGATGATTGAGGAGACTCACATCATGGCCACGGGAATATTTTGAGAAGGGATAATTAAGGAGACTAATCTTACTGAAAAATATTTCACAAGCTGCGTTGACGCGATTAACACAGAAACTCAGAAACAGCGGAGAAATATCCAGCTTCTACCGCTCACGATGTTTGACATTTTTTTAGCAATAAACTTCAGAATTAAACCACATGTTGATTCAAACACTGTGAACAAAAAGGGAACGATCGAAAAGCTACGTTGAGGAACGTTTGGCAAAACAATGTCGAATGACGTTTTCTTGTTTTTAAATTTGACCAAAAAGATTTAATGCACAGAAAAAAAGATATTATCTCCTACCAAATTGCTGCTCAATTCTGATGCTTGAATGAAAAAAAATGTCAAATAACAGACACTCACCTAAGCACAGTTCTTGAATTCTCTCGCGGAAGCACTCCTCAACACTTGAGCGGATTGCTGGCTGAAAAAAATACCATAAAAAATATGAGTCATTAAAAATCCTCTTGGAGATAACTTGGAGTCTGGTGGGGAGGCATGGCTGAATTCCACAAGTACAATACGGCCAAAAAATGTCTGTACAGTGAAACTGTAATTTGGGTTGACTATTTATCTCAAATGCGTTCTCCAAAAAATCAAATCTATCCATGAATTCTACAAAATGCATCCAGCTATTGAACTTGTATAAAACTGTGTGCATCATCATGATCCAGTGCGTTTGTATTTGCGCCCTCTAGTCTATTCTGACCAGTGACACTTTTATCCTGCAATGCTTAAAAGTAACTTGATGAAACCGGAATGGCGCACTGTGAACTATTGCAAAATGCCAGTTGAACAACAAAGTTCAAAGGCATTGAGAATATCCACAAGTAATAATGAGATGTCCGGATACCTGTATACGTTCTTCCGTGGCCAACTTCCGCATAACTTTTCATTCTGATTGAGTTTGAGTGATATCCGGAAATAATGTGAGTACATTGCACTAGGATTTCATGTTTGAAAATTTAGACGATAAAGTCAATAGGAAAAAGGGAGGCAAAAAGTAAGAGTGTGCTTGATCGTGCCAAAAATATTGGCCAGGTTATAAAGAGTCCAGGTTTTGCGAGCCTTGTTTTTTGAAACCGAAAAAGTAAAACATCGATTTGTAGTTCCTCTGAAATATTATTTTGAATGATCAATACATCTTTACTGTTCTGAATCACAGCAGGGAACTTGATGTTTTATACTTGCGAAAAACTGCGGTCAGAAAACAGTCCAACCTAACAGTCGAACCTAAATAAAAAAAAGTCCATAAATGTGACTTCGTAGTGCATTATCCATATCGACAAGAAGCCAAATGATTTTTGTTCAAGAAGTAAAGAAACCAGTCAGTATTTGGACAATTTGTTTATGAGAGTGCACAATGGAAGTAGTAGCGGAAATATTGCCAGACAGGAATTCCTCATTTTTATTGCCTTGAAATTTGACCTCACAAAACCGTGGTCTGCATCCGCACCAACTGTTTACATTAAGAGCTGAAATAAAATAGCTCGATAATTTACAAAAGTATTTGAAATTAACTCTTTCATATGGGCTTTGATTAGTGCATGTTATGCACAAACAAAGCCCGTCTGAACAAGTTAATTTCAAACATATTTGTAAATTATCGCGATACTTTATCAACTCCAAAGTGGTCGTTGGGAAAAGACACAACTTCTGGATCGGAATTAGCGCGCTGGCTTTGCTGTGAGCAGACGTGTATCAGAGTCATAGTGAAATGATAAAGAACAATTTGTTCATAAAAATCTTTGGATTGTTTCAGTCCTCAAGCTACCACATTTTCACAAGCACATAAAGACGAGAAAAATATCAAGCCTACCACCGCGCTCGCTGTTTGGAGAATCATTGAATCAGCAACATTCAACAAAATCTGAATCCCGCATTGACTCAAACACATTGTGCAAAAACAACAAATTTCTTCAGAGGAAAAATGATTGTTTCAAACACTCACCGAGCAAAATCTTGTTCTTGCAGTCAGTTCTCTCTCTGGTTGTCGTCCGAAGGTGACCTGTGGTTGATATGAAGGGTGGACGGCCCCACATGTCTTAAATAGTGCCATCGATTTCCTGAGCAGTGACTAAAAACTCGGACCTGGATTGTGATTGCATGGCTCCTGTACGCTGTCAATCACACATCACCGACTCGCTTCATATTAATGATACGAAAGCAGTGTTAATGTCGTTGAGACTATATAAAGTCAACATAAAAACTAGTCACCGAGATTGAAATGGCCACTTCTTATTGGTGGATATTGTATGGATGTCGGTGACACATCCAAATATGGAATTTATGATTGACACACACAGCCTGTCAGTCACAGACCACTCACTTGTGGTCACCGACTTGTCGTCACCGACTTGTCACCTACAAACTGTGATTGGTGGATAGACAAGTGACGTATACACTTGGCCGTGATTCATTCAATGTACAGTTGGCGCTTCAGTCTATTAAATTGTGTGGATATATTCGGGATTATATGAGGAATTAAATCGTACTCAAGCCAGCGGAGACGCTTGGGTTTAACTTGAGGTAGGGCACCTGGGGTGCGTTTTTTTTTTTCAAAGGCTGCACTAAATGCAAAATAAAAGTATTATTACAACAGTAAATGTAATTCAGGTTTTCAAAATGGGGCGGGGGTGGGGGCGGCTTCCACTGAGGGTGGGGAATACATGTGCCTCCGTTTTGGTGCTTTATCAGCGACTTTGTGGGTCCTTTGCAAAGAAGATCCAGGCCCCACAATGCAGAAAAATCAGCATTCTGGCGGTTCACGATCGCCTGTGTAACCGCGGCGACTTCCCATTCAATTCAATACAAATCAACCGTCATCCGCAATAGCCCTCAGCGAACGCGGTTTTGTGGCCTGAGTGGTTGCGTCCCCTTACATTAGAAAACTGCACGGTGGCCTCAGCGTAAACTGCACCAAATAGGCCTATCAGTTCATAGTTGGGCCCATCAAAAAGCCAATTCACTGAGAAATTCGGAAACTTGTAAAATGGAAGTATTTGTGAACTCTTGCTGCACAAATAGACAAATACCATACAGAAACAGTGAATTGGAACAAATTGTTAGCTGATCCTACGCATACAAAACACACAGAGCGTGAACCTTGCAAGTGAAGTGTTTCGTGCGTGGTTCACGCTGCATTGCTTTGAATAAATTGGCCGTCCAGAAACATCGGCATTGTGGCCGTTTCACCCGCTTCACACCGCACCGTTTTCACGTTCCCATTGAATAACGCACGGTGAGCGGTCTACACATTGCACCGCATCAACCCCTCAGTGAACGCGGTTTGAGGGGATTTTGTGGCCCGTGCGGTGCTATATCCCTCACATTTAGAAAACAGCATTGAACTCTCCACATTTCAGGCCATATCTGTGTTTCTGTAAACGCTGCGCCGACGTTGGGCCAGCTTTGGGCCAGCATCAAAACGGAATCGCTGAGACATTCGGAAACTCGTAAATTCAATCATTTGTTAAAATACATCAGACATGCAACAAATATTGACTGGTAGAAACAGCGAATCAGAACAAATTTAGCTGTCCTGGATGCGTGCACAAAGCATACACGAAGCGCACACGGCGTGAACCTGGTAAATGGACATTTTTGTGCATGGTGCACGCTGCATCATTATGCATAATTTGACTTCCAGAATGATTCAATATTTCAGCGGTCTATTAATCGTGTGAGCACCGCGCTGTGTTTTCAGTGTGTGTCCCGTTGAAACTGAACTGTCGACGGCTCCACAAGTACCGCCACATCACGCCCAGTGAACGCGGTTTCGGGGGATTTTGTGGCCCGTGCGGTGTTGCCTCTTACATTATGAATACTGCACGGTCGCCACATATGAGGTTATATTAATATAAGGGATCGGGAATAAATGTGTGCTTCGGAGGTTTTTATCACTCTGTTTAAGACCACTTAGAGTCTGGGTGCTGATAAATACCGACGGAGCACATATTTATTCCCATTCATAAATACCTTTTCGGTAAGAAAAAATCATATAATTCGTTCAAAACATCCCGATTTTGTTTAACAAATTCACTTTATGCTTTTTGAAACATCCCTCTTGCAAAATAATGGAGTGTTCAGCTGGCGAGTAAGATGTAAACAACCCTTTTATGGAGATTGACGCGCGCGTAGCATGTTCTGCGCGATTTCGCGCAGAACGCACCTGGCGCGTTGCGTCTTGAATTTAGAGCTATAAAATTCTGACTCCCTGGTAGTGTTGCGCATGCCTACGTGAGGATTGTGAACGTTGAACCAATGAAACGATAAGAGGCACTGGATTTTTAGGAGTCCACATTTTATTGTGACACTGGAAAAGTGTTGAAGACCAGCTAGCCATGTCTTTATCATCCGTTTAAGACCGGCCACGTGACGGGCTCTCGACCAATAGGAATAGCTAAACTGTCTGAGGTATTTATGAATGGTGATTGAAGCACATGAGGATTCTGGAGGATTGAGAACGAATGCATTTTGTGGCAGGACTGTCTGATTATTTTGAAGGATTTGGCGTTGGTTATCCATCCATCCTCAATCCTCCAGAATCCTCATTTGATTCAATCACCATTCATCCTCAGTCCTCTAGAATCCTCCAAAACCGCCGGGAGGATTTTGGAGGAGTGAGGTGGGTTAGGGTTAAAAAATACTCCGGAAAGATTCCATACCTGGAGTTCTGGACATTTAATGAAATATCCTTGGTGTTTTTTCAGACAGTAGGATGCTGGCAGTGCCAGTAAGCATGTAGGATGGAACGCCGTATTATCACGTTTCTTGTTTGTAATATTGCATAACTCTTCCTTTTCAAATGCCTGTGAAAATAGACATGCTCGGAGAATGTGCGAATGGAGGTGGACTCCCTATTATCGCGGTATGTGGGAATTGTGGTCTTTACATTATATAATCTCAAATTTTTTTTCATAGTTAATGTTTTACCAAAACATCCCCTGAATAAAGTCTGATATTTTCCCTGTAACGTTCAAGTTGATTAAACTTTGAAAGACTATATCCCTGCAGCAGTGCAGGATGATTTCTTAAAACCCTGCCCTTCCCCGCAAGGAGAAGAAAATTACTGTGACAAGTCTACTGATTGGTGATTGGGGGCGCCATTGAGTTTACACGGTGTGCTGTTTTATATTTTTATGCGCTGTCCTTATTTTGATCCCACGACTCCACGATCGATTTTCGGAGGTAGGTCGACTGCGGCAATCGATTTTCGGAGGTAGGTCGACTGCGGCTCCACGCCTCCACGCAGCCGTACGGAGGCGAGGATGTAGAGTAAAGTGGCCCTGCATTCTACAGTTGTACCGTACCCCTGAATCTTTTGGGAACCAGACTAAAAATAAATAGGGCCTAAGATGTTTATTTTTCATCAGCCAATCAGCATCGAGCTTTCATCGCAGCGAGCTTTCACGTTTGCCTTCTTGGTTTTTGAGTCTGTTTTCTGGTTGTCATTGTCGTCTTTTACCCCTGAATTTCCCTCATAAATCAAAGCCCTGCCCTCTTTCCACAAAATTAAACCTGCTCATATTCAAGAAGGTGTCATTGCCAAATGTTCAGATGTGCCAAGAAATATCAGAATGTCAATTTTGAGTGTCATTTAGTCAACTGTTTTGGTGAGTCTTTCCCTTCCTATATAGTCGTGTTCCCTAACGTGGCGCACTTCGAAGCTTACTAGTTTAAACAATGTAACCACTTGATTTTCTATTTCGCTCTCGGACGTTTCACGCCGTCAGAGAAAAAAATTATAAGCTTTATTTTAGATTCGAGGGATTTATTGGGCTCTTAAATAGTTCAAAATTTTTGTAACATCAAAATTCTCTAATTAAAGTTACGTGGGCGGATCGTTTCGATAGATGTCTCCATCATTACAAAGTGCAAAGCTTTCATATTGCTAGAAAAAAAGAAATTTGAAAACAAAATGTATTTTTTATTGTCAAAACTAAAAAAATTGCACGGGCAAGCAACTATAAACTGATCACTTAATTCCGGTTATGCCATTCTACTTGTCTGATATAGCGCCCTCTGTTGAAAATTTGAAGAGCTCCCTCTATTGATATACATAAACAGCTAATTTGTGATCCAATAAATAGCGCACTCTATTGAAAAACAAAACAGCGCCCTCTACTGACCATACAGTTACCAACTCGCCCCCTTACCAACTCGTTTTGGGGAAAGGTAAATTTCAGAATAAAATACAGGATTCTTGTGGAGCAGTTATTCAAGATCAGCGTAGTAAGACACTTGTAACGTGAACGTATAGTTTTGTCCCATTCTGACTAATAAAAAAGTAATAAATTATGCTGGCATGGCTGGCAAAAAAAATGTCAGTTAAGTTAGGCCTAGGGCTAGGCTAGGCCTTGTTTGAGTTTGCATGGACAGTCCTCAATTTTCGGAAGAATTGCTCCTTTAGTACACGTCCAGCAAATACCAACTCACGCTTTATTTAGCCGTTAATAAATGGAATGTCATGGCCTAGCATTTAAGAGCACCGGACTCATGTCCCGTGGTTTCAGAGGCAACAGTGACGTGGGTTGGAGCCCGCCGGCGGACACTTGTGCTTAAGCAAGGCACTTGACCATTCTTGCTTCGTCCTTTGGCGTGTTTGGATGGGACGTAAAACCGTAGGCCCGTGTGTTGTATTATGAATGCACGTTAAAGACGTGTTCGCTAAGAGAAGGGGTTCGCCCAGGTGTCCTGACAGTGGCCGCAGCAACTTATATTAAACCAATAAAAGGTGCTACATAATGGGTCTCATATTTCTCATGTACTTCATTCATCTAATAATAGACATAACTGCCAGCGCCTTGAGTACCTATACTCCGTTGCGATAATGCCTGAATAGGCTTCTGCAACGTAACCATACAGATACAGATAAAAGGGCCTTTCTGTTATCCTACGGTTTTCATAGAAATTGATGACGTGCATGCCATGAGCAGCCAGTGATGCAAGATGCAAGATAGCAGGTTGATCTCCAATGGGCAGCAGACATGGAAAGAATGTTGCAACCTGACGCCACTTCAGCGTTACAAAGTCTATGGTGAGTCAAGAAAATTGAAGTATTTCCTAACATTGAAATTGGAAATGTTTCTTGTCCCAGATTCATGTCTTATCATCATTTTTGCAATGACTGTCCTTCATTGAGATGATATATGAAGAAAACGGTAGAGTCATATTCTTTTTTTTTGGCCTAATAGAGAGTCGGGAACTAGGACAGCTTTTATGGGCGGAAACCAGTTCAAGCTAGTTCCCGATTGTCTTATACCATTTGAAATCCACTTGTGTTCACAAGCGAGATCCAGTCTACTCATTATCATAATCGATGCTTCGCGCTCGGTAACGGAATCGCACTCGGGATATGGGGACCATTGAATGTACGCTGGGCATGAAGACTACATCACGTCGTTCAAACATTAACACGAGTCGGAAATTTAACGTGTTCATGATCGCGAGGGGAGCTCTCAGAATTGAACGGGAAATTTCACTTTTCTTCCGGATCGTAAATAAACTTCAGTACAACCATCTTAATCATCGATGTCTATTTGTACCTCAGGTGGCCTATCTAGTAATTGGGAGGCCATTTTGAGGGTGAAATCTGAATGTTAAAAAGACGATAAGTTGGGTCCAAGCATGGTCCAAGTTACTTGGACTACTGTAAGTGTAGTCCGAAAACTTGGGACTCTCAATACTGTGTATGAGAGTCCTAAAACTTATGGTATTGAAAACATGCAAAGCAAGAAAAAAGACTGGCACCTGAAACAACCAGTCCAACACAGCTTCAGTACTGCATCAATCAACCATGCCAAAAGAATTTAAGAAACATGTGGCATGAAGCGGGAACTAGTCTCAATTTACTACACATTTCTCCGTAGTCAAGCCACCAGACTATTGACACTGAATGAAGAGGTCAGTCTTTTCAAATAGTTGGACCATATGGTCATGATCGTTGGACATGTACCAGTCTAGTATGTAGTCCCATTTTGAAATCACTTGACTTCCCTCTCATGTGCAAAATATTGAAGAAAAATCTCCTTTAAAAATTGAATTGAGTATCCAAACTTGGTTGGTGAAATACTGAGGACATTTTCTTTGCCCGTTTTGTTTTGCACGTTTCAGAGCACTCCAGAGCCCTGTCTGCTGTAAGTGTAACTTAGCCCTAGTCCTAGCCCAGGTTGGACTCTGTTGTGTACACGCAACGGAGTCCAGGGTAAGAATCTCTCCTGCCATAGCGAAAAAAGTTTTAACACATGTAGTATTAGTAAATATTGCTTGACATTATTTATGCTTATTGAATTCTTTTCATTGTCTTTGGGTAATGTATTTTTTTTTTCATTAGAAAATTGACGTGACAGGTCACACAGTGGATGATTTGGTGAACAAGACAATAGAATACCTTCAGCCCAATCCAGGTAAGAACCAAAATTGAAACATCATTGACGCTAACCTTCCCAAATCCTCCAAAATCCTATTTGCAAAATGTAGGCTTTTGCAGGATTGAGGCTATATGGCAAAAATGTGTGCCTGATTTATGAGGATGCACTGTGTCAAGGTCTTGGGCCGGATCTTGTGATGTTCCCTGAGCTCAGGGAACCAGACTAGCTGGCTTGCATCCATTCACGGATGTGTAACCGCTTGCAAAAAAATGTGGACTAAATAAATTGGGTAAATTGGGGCACTATTTGGACAAATCAGATTCTTCCAATGATGGTCGGCCGACCATCTTTTGAAATCAATACAAAAATTCCACTTTTCTTAAAAATGACAGCACACCAGGTGCCATGATTTCACAGGATGTCTGAGACTGTCGTTCACCTACAGTCAAGTAAAGTATTTCATAATAATTTGGTAGTTTTGTTTGTTGATGTTTGCAAATGTCGTATATTACCTTTAATTGTAACCTTTGGAATAATTACGTTTGGGGTGACTATAGAACACCGGTTTGAATCAGGTCTAAGTATTCACTTCAAACAAACCAAATAGAGATAGATCCTCTATTTGTGTGCTGACCCTAATCAATCGTATTGTCTTTCCTGAACAGTCTCCAGAGCCATGAGCAAAGTCCGTGGTCAGAACAAGGGAGGAACCAAGCCTCAACAACCCGTAGGATTCCTGGGAGAAGTCATGCTGAAGAACGGCAGAGAATTAGGAGAAGATTCGACGTTTGGTGAGCAAGCTTCAAGATGTATTCTCTTTCCTTCTGTGGTAGACTGATCAAAAAGCTCTCAAAAAGGTGCTCTAATCAGTGTTCCAATCCACCAACATAGTACCATGAGTATTGTGTGATTTATGTAGGGCCCAGCACTTCAGATATGCAAGGCCAAGTGAAGAAATAAACCAGTTTCTCGTACCTGCCCGCTGCCTTTTATTTTTTTATTTTTTTTTTATTTATAAATGCATAGGCCTACATTTGCAATATACAGGTGAGTCAAAAAAGACGAAACCCAAATGGCAGGACCAATTTTTGAATGAAGTTTTGCCTGTAGCACTTTCCAAATCTAGGATATGAGAGCCCAATCAATGGGCTTTGTATTAACACAATAAAATCATTCCTGTGATAGGTATTATAAAAAGATGGATTTTGTTATGTTTTTGTTTTTGTTTGGATACAGGTACGGCGATGGTCCAGAGGGAAGAATCACTGAGGCAACTTTCTGAAGTCAAGGACGCCTTCGATCTGAACGTCAGACAGAACTTTTTGGATCCCCTGGATCATCTCAAGAACAAAGATCTGAAGGAGATCAACGTGAGTTCCATCTTACAAAATCTAACATCACCCATTATGCGGTTGATTCTGATAGAATCAGGACTGTGTTGCACAGCCACTTTCGGGGAAATTCAAGCACAAATTAGGGAAAATGGAAAAGCGTAAAGCCATGTCAGAATGAAGTGGCTACGGCTAATACATTAGTTGCACCTATGGAAGCAGATGAAGCCACTTCCCATGTGGGCTAGTGCTAGTCGTAGCCATGTCATTCAGACATGGCTTATGCTCACTAACAGAAGGGTTAAACAGGGTTACTGGAAATTACATTCTCATCTAGAGTAATCCGGCGAACAAAATTAGAAGCCATTTTTGAGGTCGCGCCACGACTACGTGCACGCGTTCTTAAAGACGAGGCTCGCAAATGTTTTGGTCGAAGGAGTCCGGAGTGCGCGATTCACGTGAGCCTAGTGCCTCCGCATTTATCCTGAGTTATCCTGTTCACAGACAAACCAAGGCCGATGAAAACATATACCTCACCTCATGGTGGAGAAAAAAAAAACAGACGGGAAACCGGGTTTTTTTTTTACTCTGTCTAATAATGCATTTCATAGACCATGCATTTCATAGACAATCTCAGCTCCCAGGGTATACTTAGCACAGCTGTTTAGTTTTGGTGGAAACAACAGAACAATAAAATGTTGTTTTTTATAGGTATCATTAAAAAAAAATAAAAATTGTTTTGGTTATTTTTTGGATACAGCTACGACGATGGTCGAGATGGGAGAATCACTGAGGCAACTTTCTGAAGTCAAGGACGCCTTCGATCTGAACGTCAGACAGAACTTCCTGGATCCCCCTGGATCATCTCAAGAACAAAGATCTGAAGGAGATCAACGTGAGTTCCATCTTACAGAATCTGACAGAATTTGGTTGATTTTGATAGAAGCAGGACTGTGTTGCACAGCCATTCAAGCACAAATTGTGGCCAATCTGGAAAAAAATTGATAGAAGACCAGTGATCGATTACTGGTTGATTTGGGTTGTAACTTATGCTGTGTACTTTGGGTCATTCGATAAATTTGGGGTCCACTTTTTTCCTGTCTCTGTTACATCTGACATCTGTGATTTTATAATTCTGATGCACTCCTTAATGCAGTCGTCCTCCAAGGGTGATTATGAATAGCAAACTACCTACACAACGAATACAAAATTGTTTAAAGTCATTCTTAACCCTAACTCCCTGGGCATTTTTGCGATGATGCTGCAAAATCCTCCAACTGCCTCCATGTCAAAATTGCATGCAGCCTCAATCCTGCAAAATCCTCCGTTATTTCTTGAATGTGATCCTTGGAGGGGTGACCACTGCCTCAATCCTGCCAAATCCTCCAGCAATCACTGTCAATATGTTGAGGCTGAGCCAGTGACATCCTGGAGCAGTGCGGAGGACTTCAAGTATAATTTATGCACAGCTGAGCATAAACAAACATAAGGCCCGGCCCAAGACCTTGACACACTGCATCCTGCAAAATCAGCCACACATTTTTGCCAATTAAACAGCCTCAATCCTGCAAAATCCTCCATTTTGCAAAGAGGATTTTGGAGGATTTGGGAAGGTTAGGGTTAATGCAGTCGTCCACCAAGAGTGATTATGTGAAGCAGACAACCTACCCAACAAATTGTTGAAGTCATTCTTAATGATACTTGAACGGCAAATGACATGTTCAGAGATAACAGGAACTCGAAAATTGTCACACTTTGACCCATAATTTATATAAGGAGCCTTACAGCAATGTGCAAATGTCTCTTGTCAAACAATAAGTTTATTTGTCTCCCCAATATTTGTTTTTTTCAGCACCATTGGAAGAAGTTGCAGGGGCGATGTCTTGACTTTGACTACAAAAAGAAAAAGCAAGCAAAAGGTAGGCGACAGATTATCTCAACTCCATCATATCAAATCATCTTACATTACTAAAATCATAACTAAAACAAAACTAACGTTAGACTTAAAAAGTTTTATTGTTAACATGACACTAAGTATATCATTATTAAGACAAGATAAGTTTTGCGGTAGCACCATGTGAATAAATCTCTTTTCTGAGTATGTGTGGTTCTGAAAAGAACCGGAGGGACTCAACGTTTCAAACAGTATGCTCTGCCCGTCGTCAGGAGAATGAGGGATTCCAATGATGATGCAATGTTATATAAGGATGGGTGCGGTGAGGCATGAGAAGGATGCAAACTGGTGAAGTTGTGGTGATGTGATGGAGTTCTTGAGGTAGGTGTTCATCGTCGCAGATGATGAACACCTACCTCAAGAACTCCATCACATCACCACAGCACTGCAGCGCAACGGATACCAGCCAAGTCAAGACACAAGACCCAAGAACCATTCCCGGCCGTAGGGTCTCCTATACCCAAAGCCAACTAGTTAGGGCCCCTAGTTCGATCACCCTCCCCTACTTAGGCACCACTTCTCATCACATCCAGCGCATCCTCCAAAAGCATGGAATTCGAGTCTTCCACACAGCCCCTCTGAAGATGCAGAACCTGCTGACTTCACACAAGGATCGGTGTGACCCTGAATGCAGACCAGGAGTGTACAAGATTCCATGTCAATGTGGCAAAGTGTATATCGGCGAGACTGGCAGGGACCTCCCCACCAGACTCAATGAACGCAAAGCCCATGGCAGGAAGGGAGACTTCAAGAAATCTTCCATTGTCAAACACTCCCACACCGAAGATCACCCGATCAACTGAAGCCAAGCAGAAATACTCAGTAGCATCGACCGCTGGTACCCCCGACGTATCAGAGAAGCCAACTATACCCCTGAGCTCCTTCCCCTTTGCCCCCTCACTGTGTACTGACACGCTCCAGTGATCATCCAGCATCCTTCAGTCAACTTGCATCCTGTCTCAGCTTCACCGGTTTCGAGCTTCACCAGTTTGCATCCTTCTCACGCCTCACCGCACCCATCCTTATAACATCGCATCATCGTTGGAATCCTTCATTCTCCTGATCGACGGGCAGAGCATACTGTTTGCAACGCTGAGTCCCTCCGGTTCTTTTCAGAACCACACATACTCAGAAAAGAGTTTTATTCACATGGTGCTACTGCCAAACTTATCTTGTCTTAGTATCTTTCACCATGCAAACCTTCAAATCTCATCCTATATCATTATTAATTGTCATACATTATGCCCCCAAAAAAGTGTCTGTGGAAAATAAAGTCTGATGTGGTTTGGGATTGGAATCATTTGCCCTTGAGCATTAAACCGAGGTCTTGCCGTGATGACTGATAGCCAGGCAAATGATTCCAATCCCAATTGCAGCCCTTTTCACAACATGCAGGATTTTACACAGCTTACTTAACACAGCACTGAAATTGATTAAGGCAAGGAACTTGGTCACAGTGTCCCAAAATGTTGTTGTGATCAATTGACAAGTGTGCAGTGATGCGTGACTGAAATTAAATGAAACTCATCGGGGTTGAGGCCAAGATAGGGAGTATCTGCACAATCAAACTTTTTCAAATTGGACTTCATGGTTTTGTAGTTATTTCAAAAATAGTCAGACGGACATTTCCTTTGGACATACTGGTATAATGCGTATAATATTTGTTTGCATTAAAAGAAAAACACAAATTGCATTTAAAATATACGAACACTGTCGTTTTCTGCTATGCTTCCGAGGCTTAATTGGCTTTGTGTTTTCCTTTGTTTCCTGATCTAAACCTTTCCCATAGACTTAGTGCACAAACTGGCGTTGGAGGACAATAGGAACTGTTGTTCGAGTACCGTATTTTGTGTACCGAAATGTGTACTCACAGTTGAGTACTTGAAGAAGACTTTGCGGGATGAATTTTGATGAACAGTTTGAGTAAAATGCAAGCAGGTCTTTAAAAAATTAAGTCAAAGTTGCAAAATGTATAACAAGATCATTAAACCAGATTTGTCCAGGTTTTTCGCAGCGCTAACGTTAGTCTTTTCCAAGACCTGGACACAATTTATTTAGAGCAAATGCATTCAAATTTTCTTTCCTGATTGGTTTCCGTCTAGATTGGTGGGTTGGGTAAGATCAAGACCAACACAATCATCAAGGAGCTCTCCAAACCCTGGATGCTGGATGAGGAAGGAGCCTGGAGACCAAACATTTCCTTGGAAGATCAGCAAGGAAGAAGTCACCATGCTCAAAGAGAAGGTAGAATCTCCTCCTTGCGCTCAAGCACCCCCCCCCCCCCTTCTATAGTGAAAACTATAGACGTGGAGGTCATCCCGGACCTGAACAAGAAGCCCAAGGAGTAGAGCCTGAGACGGTTCAAGGAGCTGTCCAAACCCTGGATGCTGGATGAGGAAGCAGGGGAGACCACGGAGAAGTTTCCTTGGAAGATCAGCAAGAAAGTAGTCACTACGCTCAACGAGAAGGTAGAATCTCCTTCTTGCACTCAAGCCCCCCCCCCCCCCCCCCTCCACAGAGAAAACTATAAACGAGGGCCATTTGGGCGCCATCGTGGCTTATAAATGCTGGTACCAAAATGAACGATATCCAGCATGAGTGAACCAGTGAAGTGTCCCTCATTCCGGCTTCTGCTTGTTTGACTATAAAGCGCCCTCTTTTGTCCATGCATGGAGACAATACACTTAGAGCTCTTCCCAGTATCCACTTTATACGGAAGATGGATAGTGCCACTCAATGAGTGTGAATACATTTTTTTGGTGCGTGTGAAAATATATTTTTTTTGCACACCGGCCGCCACTTATTATGTGGCGGCCGCCAGATAATAAGTGGCGGCCGCCACATAAGTCGTCATAATAAGTGGCGGCCGCTGTACAAAAAAATATTTTCACACGCACCAAAAAAATATATTCACACTCATTGAGTGGCACTATCTGTCTTCCATAACTTAACGCTTTGTCCCTGGTTTTTGTGATTTTAAGTCCAGTCTTGCAATATCTTTAATTGCGTCCAACCTTTGACATTCTGGTGGGTGATTTTTCAAAAATGAGTATTGATCACTTTCAGTGGAAATTGAACAACTCATAATTAGTTCATTTTCTTTGCCAAGTGGAACTCGACATATTAAACATCAATATTCCAGTCCATTTTCCACCTAAAATCTTTGGTCTTCTTCATAATTCCCTTCTAAAAAAAATCCTCCTAGCCAAGATAGTTAGTCTCTTCCATAAATTCCTTCTAAAAAATGTCCTTTTAGCCAAGATGGTTAGTCTTCTCCATAAATCCCTTCTAAAACAAATATCCTTCTAACCATGATGGTTCCTCTCCTCCATAATTCCCTTCTAAAAGATATTCTTCTAGCCAAGATGGTTAGTCTCCTCTGTAATTCCCTTCTAAAAAAATATCCTCCTAGCCAAGATGGTTAGTCTCCTCCATAATTCCCTTCTAAAAAATATCCCCCTAACCAAGATGATTAATCTACTCCATAATTAAAAGTATCCTCATTACCAATAATTATGGTCGTCTTCTCAGTAATTCGCTTAAAACAAGTCTGAGTCTTGCGCGTAACTTTGTACACACCTGTCCCAAGTTCTTTCCACTGACTATCCCTATTGCCGAGTATGATCTTTTATAAATAGTCATCATGCTCATTCAAAGGCATATTCATAGAAAGGTGGAAATCTCCTTGCTGCCACGGTGTCAGATTTAACGTTTGGTATACCGTGAGGTATATCTAGGTTGTGTTAACTTCAGGTTTACTCCGATCTTAACGATAACCAAGTTAACGATCATTAAATAACAATTGATTGTTTTTTTTCTTTTTCTGAAGGCTGGTACAAGGACAAGATTTTGCCCAAGATGGAGTTCTGTGCTGTTGGTTGGGTAAGATCCAAACCAACACAATAATCAAGGAGCTCCACAAACACTGGATGCTGGATGAGGAAGCAGCCTGGAGACTACGGAGAAGTTTCCTTGGAAGATCAGCAAGGAAGAAGTCACCACGCTCAAAGAGAAGGTAGAATCTCCTCCTTGGGATCAAGCCCTCCCCCCCCCCCCCCCCCACAGTGAAAACTATAAACTTTATATTTCTTTTTGTGCAAGTTGGTCAGTAGTGCAGAATGATTCACTTGTTAACTAATGCATGCAAAATAGAGAAAAAAGTTCAATGACTATCATCCCACCCAGGCTATAGAAATGTCAAACCCCAAAAACAGATATTACCTACCCTACGTACACAGTTGTTTTTTGTATGTAGTAGAAAACACCACACTTTTGGTTCTCGGTTGGCCTGATTATTTTATTATATGTTTCAGTGTCCAATTCATTTCATGGAGCCTTTCAGAGATCTCTCAGGTTATTCTGGATGGCTGCATGTCTAAAGAAACACATGCTTTATATAATGCTCTGTATAATTTTTGTTTGTGAAACCCCCCCCCTCCCAACCTCCGCCCCCACCTCCCACCACCCCCAGGCTTGATCCTACTCATCGATCACCTCATCTCCATGAAATCCACCTGGGAGAAATGCAAGCTGCGCGTCTTTGCCACCACGGGCAAGAAAGAGCAAATGGACAGGGAGAAGATGAACATGGCCAACATGCTCAGCAAGTTCCGCATCAACTGCTCGGACGTGGAGGTCATCCCGGACCTGAACAAGAAGCCCAAGGAGTAGAGCCTGAGACGGTTCAAGGAGCTGTCCAAACCCTGGATGCTGGATGAGGAAGCAGGCGAGACCACGGAGAAGTTTCCTTGGAAGATCAGCAAGGAGGAAGTCTTTACGCTCAACGAGAAGGTAGAATCTCCTCCTTGCGCTCAAGCACCCCCCCCCCCCCCCCCCTCCACAGAGAAAACTATAAACGAGGGACATTTGGGCGCCATCGTGACTTATAAATGCTGGTTCCATATACACGATAACTAGCATGAGTGAACCAGTGAAGTGTCCCTCATTCCGGCTTCTGCTTGTTTGACTATAAAGCGCCCTCTTTTGTCCATGCATGGAGGCAATACACTTAAAGCTTTCCCAGTATCCGCTTTACGCTAAGTCCCTGGTTTTTGTGATTTTAATTCCAGTCTTGCAACATCTATTAATTGGGTCCAACCTTTGACATTCTGGAGGCTGATTTTCAATAATGAGATTGATCACTTTCAATCCATTTTTCGTACAACTCTCAGTTCATTTGATTTGCCAAGTGCATGGAACTTGACTCTAGTAAACATCAATAAATCACAACATTTTTTCGCCTGAAATCTTTTTTTTTTCTTTCAGACCAACAGACAGATGCGGATCCGTGAATTGCTTCGCCAACATTCCCAGGAGGCTCAGCTCATTGTCATGTAAGTACAAACCGGCGATAATGGCCACTATCGGACAATTAACCTATCACGGTGGAATTGCGTCAACGCAGCTTGTAAAATATTGTCTAAACATGATATACAAATGGACGCAGAACGCCAAAATCTGAGACAAACAAAAGTTAACGTACAAAAATTCCATGAGCCGTTTCACGGATACCGCCATCTTTGAAATGGGGGGGGGGGGGGGGGGCATTACATTGAAAAGCCATGCCATCATTCTCAGCTACAGTTGCATGATGAGACGTATTTTCATTGTAATGCCTGCCCCCCCCCCCTCAAAAACAATAATTCAAAGATATGGCGGTATCCGCGAAACGGCTTATAGAGTTGTCTAAGGGGCGTGGTTAACTCGCAAACGGCGGTAGGTCAATGGGTGGCGCTTTTCATGGCGGCACAATTGCTGACGTTTACACGAAATACCAAAAATTCTTTAAAAGCCGCTGGCGAAACAAGAAACTTTTTAAACAAAACTAAGGACGCTTGTGTAAAAACTAAAAGTTACTTGTGTAAAAAGGGCACTATTTACAGAATACTGGGGGGGGGGGGGGGTGTTAACTGCTGGTGCAAAAAATGGGGGCGGGGTGAGCAATAGATCTAACAGTGCTTGTGACCCAGTCTGACTGAGCTACTGTGGTCACCTGATCAAAAGTGGTGATCTGATTGGCCAATGTGCACTGTTGATTGACATGCAGGAAGGGTCCATTATAACCTTTTCTTTGATTTCTTGCAGGAGTCTACCTATTCCCAGGAAGCGTACTTGTTCAGCTTACATGTACATGTGCTGGCTGGAGACATTATCCAAGGATATGCTGTCAGCAGGGATGCCAAATATGGCATCCAAATAAAAGTCAATACAAAGAAATTCACTTGAAATGATAAAGTGACAAAGGACAATTCCAACCAGTTGAAAGACCCTCCTCACTTGAATGGAATTTGTACTTTGTTTTCCTTGATTTCGTTGAGATTGTTTCTTTACCATCTAACGGGCTCACACTTTCACTGATGTTTTCAAAGTGAGTTTCTTGAATGCAATCAAGTAATACTGATTAAGAACAATAAAAGTCTTCAAATAATTTTGAGTCTTTTAATCAAGAAACACTTGTCAGACTTTTACGGGCTTTAAAAACAACAGCCAACTCCACTTTTTTCATTACTGTGGGCACGTTTCTGTTTCAACTGAAAGTAATTAAAATTATGTGGTTTTTTTTTCATAACGAAGCCAAGCGAAAAAAGAGAGTATTTATCAACAATGGTGGTGCTTTTGATAATCCTCAGAATGAGGTTTTATGCATACTGTTTTCATAGCCAGTCAATTGTTACTTTTACATAATTCTCACATATTGTAACGTTTAAAATAATGCAATCATTTAATAAAAACCAGTGTATTCTAATTGCTGTGAATAGCATTAGAATATTTCAAACAATTGTTAATCCAAATGCCAAGCTTAAAGTCTATAAGAAAATCAGATTCAATCACTCCAGACTTTTTTCGTGACATGAAATAAAACTTGATACATGCATGGGATTGATTTAATTGACATTATCTGTGCTGGGCATACAGGGAACATAAGGCGAAGAAAATAACATGTTACAGTAAACGCCCTAAAATTATCCAGGTAGGTAGCAAAATATTTTGTTTGTTTGTCTGAATGTCTTTTATACTTTGTTTGCTTTAGGATACAGTTATTGTGTTTAATTAATCTGTTTTAAATACCCAATTCTACAAATAAGTTGCATTTATTTTCGGGAAAAAAAACATGTTATTTTATATGTTCACCAAATGTGGCA